CGAGGATCAACATAGCCCGGTGGTTGCGTCATGTAGATAGTTTCATCAAGCATGCCATGAAGAAAAGCATTGGAAACATCCAACTGATTGATGAGCCAATTATTGCGCACGGCGAGTGACAGTACCAGGCGAATGGTTTCCTGCCGAATAACAGGACTGAATGTCTCGGAGTAATCAAGTCCATACTCCTGATTGTAGCCTTTAGCAACCAAACGAGCCTTGTACCTGGAAATACTGTCATCTGCATTGTGTTTAATTTTGTACACCCATCTACAGCCCACTGGGTGCCGCCCATGGGGCTTAGGTACAAGGACCCAAGTTTTCTGATCAGTCAAAGCCTTAAACTCGTCATCCATAGCATGACGTCAATAAGCATTTTTTGAGTCAACAGAGTAGGTTGTTGGTTCACTATCGGGAAGAGGTGTATTTGGTAGTATGGTAGCCTGAAAGGTTTTGGGTTTAAAGATATCGGCTTTGCCACGGATTAACATGGGATGAGTATTGGGGGGTGGCACGGGTGGTGGTGATTCGGGAGTGGCCGGGAAGGACCCAAAACGGATCGGGCTGGAGATGTTGTGGGTATGGGGTGGTTCGGGTTGGTTGTGAGTGTGGGTGGTGGTTGCGGGTGTATTGTGGGTGACGATCGAAGGGGTGATGAGGGGTGGTTGGGTAGTGGGTGGAGGTGTGGGGGAAGGTGGTGAGGGACCCTGTGAGTATGTTGGAAAAAGGGGAAGGACGCCAATGAATGATGTATTTGTGGAGGAGGAAATAGACTCGTAGGGAAACTCTTTTTCGATAAATTTGACATGACGAGATATGTAGACTTTATGAGTTTGTGGGTCAAGACAGCGATAACCCTTGGAGGTAAGATGATAGCCCAAAAAAATACAAGGACGGGATCGGGGTTGTAATTTGTGAGTAATATGAGGGCGTAGCCAAGGGTAGGCAAGAACCCAAAGACGCGGAGGTTGGCATAATTGGGAAGTTCTTGGTAAAAGAGTTGATAGGGTGATTTGTTGGAGAGAGTATGACTGGGCATTCTGTTAATGAGGTAGTTTGAGGTGGCTAGAGCTTCTACCCAAAAGGAGACAGGGAGATGAGATTGATGTAGAAGAGTAACCACCGTTTCAATGAGATGGCGATGCTTACGCTCAGCCACCCCATTCTGTTCGGGAGTGTATGGACAGGAGGTTTAATGTATAATTCCCAGGGATTGCAGAAACTGGCCAAAGATGTTATTGACATATTCCTTTCAATTGTCACTTCGAAAAAGTTTAACATGAGAATTGAATTGTGTTTTGACCATTTTTCAAAAGTGACAAAGGTGGTGTGTGCCTGTGATTTGTGTTTTAGTGGGTACAACCAAGTGTATTTTGTAAAATCATCCACAAAACAAATATAATAGCGAAAACCAGCAAATGAAGGAACAGCAGTAGGACCCCATAGGTCAGAATGAATAAGTTGAAAAGGTGTAGTTGTACGCTTCTCAGATAAAGTAAAAGGTAATTTATGAGATTTAGCAATTAAACAGGAGTCACAATTTTTTACATGAATGGAAGAAAAATCTAATTGAGACATTAAAGAATTTATTATTTGAGTAGACGGGTGACCCACACGACTGTACCACAACAGACTATGGCCATCAGCCGAAAGATCCACCGGAGCCACAGAAACGCTTTCTGAAATTGGGTGCGTAGACGAACTTGTGCCAGGAAGAACGTACAGACCATGCTCACAAGGGCCCTGAAAAATCACCCTCTTGGTAGTATTGTCTAGGATTTGAAAATCATTAGAGGTGAACAAGAGTGAACAATTATTGTCTTTTGTTAATTGGTGAACTGAAAGGAGATTGGTTTTAATAGAAGGGACGTGGGTAAGGTTACCTAGGTGAAAGATAGCGGTGGGGGTTTTAATGGTACCCGTGCCAGTGTGAGAAATATTAAGGGACTCACCATTGCCAACAATAATATCATTGGAGCCATGATATGGATTTGGAGCGTTAAGCTTGGATAAATCAGAAGTAACGTACATGTTGGCCCCAGTATCCAACATCCATTCAGAGGAAGGGCCGGCTTGAGATGCATAATTGGCACGGTTATCACTATTTTGGCTCTCCTCATACCGAAACTAGCAACGAACAGCGGTGTGTCCTGTTTTCTGACAGATTTGACAAGTTGGACGATCCCGCTCGTAAGTGCCCTGCCCGCCGCTGCTGAAGGAGTGCAGGCTGTTGTTGCTGCCGCGCTGCTGACCGTCGTACGACGGACGACTTCCCTGCCGACCGCCGCGCCCGCGGCCTCCGCTGCTTCTGTTGTAGCCGCCACGGCTCCCCTGCCGACCGCCACCACGCCCCTCGCGATAGTTCTGGCTTGCGGTGAGGGCAGTGGCCGGCTCCATAATAGCGGATTCTCGGAGAAGGAGTTTGCTCTCCAGATCCACGTTGATTTCTTCACTTTTTAGCCACGAGGAGAGAGTAGCCAGGTCAACGGGCGTTGGACTGATGCGAACCGCCTGTTTAATGGAGGAGTAAGCTGATGGGAGCCCCCGAACGACGCAAATGACGAGATCTTTTTCGGGAATGATTTCGTTCACGGTGTCGAGGGCTGTGATGATCGTGGAGACCTCGTATAAATACTCCGCCATAGTTTTCGTGCCTTTGGTAATTGTGTGGAGACGATTACGCAATTGAAAAATATGAGAGTGGGAAATTGATGCATAGCGTGTTGCGAGGGCCGTTCACAGGGCTAAAGCAATTTTGTAGGATCGGACGTGTTTCTGAACCGTGGGAGAGATGACCGCATATCAAACATGATCAGATCTGGCCATCCACGGCTTTCCAGGCGGCATGGGCCGGATTGATTTTTTCTGATTTGTCCGTGGCGGTGATGACTGCCGGCGGCGGTTCTGTGCTTCCATCGACGTATTTGAGAAGGTAATTGGCCTCAAGGGATGTAAGAACGGTGATTTTCCATGTAGGGTAATTTATGTCTGATAATTTTTCGGGAATCAGGGCATGAAGATGCCTGAGAAGGAGTTTAACGCCAGAAGGAAGTGAATCGAGAGGATCCACCTCGGTTGTCATGGTTGCCGCCGCCCAAGAGAAGAGAGGGAACGATCGGTGCCCTAAAGAGAGAAAAAAACCTAGAGAAAAGAAGATCTAGGTTTTCTGGCTCTTGATACCATGAAGGAATATTGATTGTATTGAAGTGTTGAACTAATGAGGGAACACATGGGAGATATATATAGGAGATATAGGAAGGAGTACTAATCCTAATAAGACTAGGATTAAGGAGTACTAATCCTAATAGGACTAGGATTTATTATTTAGTACTATTTATTTAATACTATCTGTTATTAAAGAGGAACTAAATAAAATAGGAATTATCCTAATTTTAGTGTAGATCATTTTTGTACATTTAATCCCAACATATATCTATTAAGGAGTCAATTTTAAATCCTCTTCTAATAATTTGACAATACATATGAGATCGTGTAATTGTACTTTACAATAGCTATTCTTCAAACTTGAACCAATTGAGGTTTGACTATATGAACATTAAATCTGCATTCCTCGTTCCATTTGGAGCAGTTCCAATCTAACAACACTCAAATAATTATTAAGAATACTCTATTACTTCCAAGAGATTTTCTATATTTTCTACCAAAATACAAATCAGTAATGAACAAAAAGAATTCCTACCAAACAATATAATTGATGTAACTATAGCAACACAAAACAAACCTTAATCCATACTCATTTAAATTACTTGCGGATCTTGTGCTTCACTTAGAGTTTGTATTTTGCTAGATCTTGCGCAAGTGAAGAGTAGAGAGGATGGTGTACACAAACATACTCATACCTTTTTAAGGTAGACATACTATTTTCGCTTTACCCTCGACGTAATATATAATTATTAACTTTGAAAAAAATGAAAAGAAGTGCAATTATTTTCTTAATAAAAAAAAAAGACTACCAAACATAGAAGCACACGGGAGAATCATAATACAGACAAAAGGAACAAAAAAAATGCTTAAGCTCAAACAACTCATCTAGACCAACACCACAATGAGGTTGTGAAATGAGATTAGGGTGAATAACATCAAAAGGAGAAGGAGATATATAACTACTTACAATCCAAATACATTTGTTGCTCATCAGAAGTCATAAAACCTGCAAAAATCAAAGAATATCATCGATATAGCAAATGAAATAAATATTTTCAATCGTAAAAAAAAATACAACTGAACTGACACAAATACCTTATACTTCAAAATTTGCCTCTGAATTTTTTTAATTTCTATTGTAAAAGATGATACACTTGTTAGATGGAAAAGAAAGTAGTACACATGTTCCATAGACAGTACATCTGTTAGATGGAAAGGGCATGCAAAAAATTACTGTTAAAATTAATTCATAAACTTTTGAGAGTCCAACTTTCAATACAATCATTATAACTATCTGTAAAATTATAGAGTGCAACGTTCGTCCCACACCTTATCATCATCATCATATATATATATATATATATATATATATATATATATAAAAGAACCCTAGGCCCATCTACATGGCGCCACCATAAACAAGAATTCTCTTTTAGTTTATTTATTTCCAAATTTAGTCTTTCCTTTTCACGAAAAGTTGTGACTTTTTTATTAAAAAATTGTAAATTTTATGAAAAGTTGTAACTTTTGTGAAGAGTTGCGACTTTCACGAAAGGTAGTGATCTTTTTGAAAAGTTGTAACTTTTTCAGACAGTTATGATTTTTCCGGTAAGGCATAATTATAATTTGTTCACACTGTCATTTGTTGACTATAAATAGCGGGGTTTCCTCTCATTTGAAAATAACGAAAATTCTGAACTTCTTTTCCTTCTTCTGCACATTTAAATTAAATATTTGATTCAAAACTTCTTCTTCTTCTTCTTCTTCTACTTCTTCTTCTTCTTCTTTTTCTGCAAGGTAAATATTTGTGTACATTGCTCCTTTTTAGTGGGTCACTAACAAGGAGAAACTCTGCATTCAGTAGGCTCGAGTTTTCCTTTTTGTTTCATTCTAGTGTAACAAATCCTGGTATGTCTTTTGACAATCATTAATTTGTGCTTATGATATTAATTGTTTCTTTTACTACATATCTTAAACTTTGTTGTTTATGTTTTTCTGTAAAGTTATTGTTATAAGTATATTTGTTAGTATAAACTGTATGTAAATCTAACTATTCAGATTAACAAATAACTTTTTACAGAATATGTTTATTTACAATATTCTCCAAAGAAATCTTTACTTCTCCAAGAAATCAAGACTAAAGATTTATCGGATATTTTTGTTGTCATAATAATGTTAATATTATAGGAGTAAAAAATATAGAATGTCAAATGATAGAATTAAAACTAGCAATTAATTATAATTATATGATACATAATGATGACTATTCTCTCACACCAAAGTACATTTTTTGAACTTTTTTCCCATTATCTCTTTCATACATTTAAAGGAACCATAATATTTTATTTGTGCACAACTTTAATTTCCAAAATACTATCATAATTATATTACATATCAAATATTTATTTTGGAAGATCACATTTTTATTTTCAAACACATAATGACTACATATTACCTATTGGTATATCATATGATTATGGAACTTTTGCTCTTTATAAACACATTAATTATACATATATTTTTTTAAAAAAATATTTAATATTTTCAAAGTAACATATACTATTATACTAATGAAAACAGTGTTATGATATTTAATTTTGCCTTTTCTTTTAATTTAATACTCTTAAAAATAGATTTATATAAAAATCTATGACATCAAAATACGAGAAAAGTATTATTCTAATAAATTTTAAAGAAGAATATTCTAATCGCGCAAAGCGCGACCCATTTACTAGTTCACTTATAAAATAGAGAAAATATGAGCAATGTATGCTATCTTTTAATTTTTTGAAAAGCTTATATTTTTCTAATGAGATACTTTACATTGTCTTAATTATTTATTTATTTTTAAAAGATATTTATATGTATTGCGTGCAATATAAATTCGGATATATATATATGTATATATATATATACACATAACTATATATTACTTTTACTAAGGAGACTTTGAGGGCGCATAAGTTGAAGCAATTGTTTAAGATTCAATGAATGTAAAATATTCAATTAGTTGCATCTAGAACATTGTTTCATAATGGACACATCTTCCTTATGTTATTTTTCATAAGATATTTATTTATGTTTCTAGCTTCATATTATTTCCTAACAATTTTGTCATGATTTGGCAGGAAGCATAATCCACACGCAGCAATGAGAGACATAATGCAATGTGGAACTTTATATAAGCAATGAACTTGGGTATTTGTTGAGAAAGTTCAACTTTCCAACAAAGGTCAAAGGTTTACCTCGAACTCTGCTCGACTCTACTCTGAAATACTCACCTACATCATAATAACTAGTAATATCATAGTTCAACACTAGGCAAACCTTGTCTTATTTGTTGGTCGGAATAAAATTGACTAATATGTCAGCTTCTTTATCCAAAAACTCTTACATTGTCTTTACTCAAAGAGGGACAAGCTATTGACACTCAATTTTGATCCTTTCATAAAATTACATTTTTTTAGCTTCAAAGTTAATAAATTATTTTACCATTGTTTCCTATTATCATCATTATTATTACGACTTGGTGGTATCATCATCATCACCACCATCAGCATCACTAACATCACCATCACCATCACCATCACCATCAATCACCATCACGAGCACCAGCACCAGCATCATAACCATCATCATCATCATCATCATCAACATCACCATCACCATCACCATCACTATAATCATCATCACCACCACCATCACCACCATCAGCAGCAGCAGCAACAACAACAACATCACTATCATCACCATCACCATCACCATAACCATAATCATCATCATCATCATACTATCACCATCACCACCACCACCATCATCATCATCATCATCACCAATACCATCACAATCACTATCACCATCACCATTATCATCACCTCACCATCATCATCATCATCATTAATTTCAATTATCGTATCTTATTTTAAGTTTCTTACTTTTTAAATGGTGATAAGTCAAAATTTTGTATCTATATTTATGCTAAATTACTAGAGAGAAATTATAACATTTATAATATAATTTCTAGGTACAAATTATATAGTACTTTAGTTATAATATTAGATACCTATCTTTTCTTCACAAATTTGAAGCCCAAATTGTCAATTTAATCAGCTCACAATTGGCCCATTATCTATCCAAAATAACTAGGCCAAATATTCAAAAGTAACTTGGTCCAATCTTGCCCAATTACCCATTCTCTTCATTCTGTCCTAGAGAAAAATAATAGGGTTCATGTTATAAAGTACTTGTATTATTGTGAATGTCTATCATGTGGAGTCCTTTTTAGGATATGATTAAAGAGTCCTCCTACTTGGGGACCAAGTTAGATTTCTCGTATAAATAGAGTGCTCCTCTTCATTGTAAATTCATTCATCAAGAGAAATAACAAGTCTTCTCTTCTTTTTTCTCTAGTTTCTTCTTCTTATTCTATAGTTTTATAACACGTTATCAGCACAAGACTCTAATTTCTCAAAAGTGAAGATTAGATTTGAAGAATTAATAAAGGTATTATTTATTCTTTTTTTTTAATTTTAATGGCCAATCTTACAAAACTAGAGTTCACTGCCCTTCAAAGTTCGGGTAGGAACTACCTCTTATGGGTGTTGGATGCTTAAATCCACCTTGCGTCATCATCTTGACGAGATTTTGAAAATCGAATATCTAACAGTTAAAGATCCACTTGTTTTGTGGAAAAACCTAAAATAAAGATTTGACCACTTGAAGATGGTCATACATCCAAAGGCACGATATGATTGGATGCATCTAAGGCTACAAGACTTTAAGTCTATACATGAGTATAATTCTGCCATGTTCAGAATCACTTCTCAATTGAAATTATGTGGAGAAACGGTTAGTGAGATTGATATGATGGAAAAGATGTTCTCCATTTTCCATGCCTCGAATGTTCTCTTGCAGCAACAATATCGAGAGAAAGGTTTCAAAAAGTATTCTGAACTAATTTCTCATCTTCTTGTGGCCGAGCAAAATAATGATTTATTATTGAAAAATCATGAGAATCGACCTGCTGGATCTGAACCACTTCCTGAAGTGAATGAGGCATACGCCCACCATGCTAGGCGTGGAAAAGGTCGCGGTCCTCGTGGTCGTGGACATGGTCGTGGACGTGGACGTGGTCGTGATTATGGTCAAGAACGTAATTCTAATCTTGGCATTAATCATTCATCAAATTAAAATGAAAAAAGAAAGGATGAGAAACGTGAAGCAACTAGGGAAGGTTGTTTTCGATGTGGTGGAAGAGGTCATTATGCACGTGATTGTCGTACTCCCAAACACTTGGTTGAGCTTTATCAAGAATCACTAAAGAAGAAAGAGAAAAATCCTGAGGCATATTTTATCTCTGAAAATCAAGTTGACATCACACACTTGGATGTAGCAGATTTCTTCTCACATCCTGAAGGAAAAATAGATCACTTAATTGGTGATGGTTCTGTGAACATGGAAGAGTGATATTTTTTTTAGTATTTATTAATAAATTTCATGTAATGATAGTTGTTTGCATGAATATTAGTATTTTAAATTAGTTTAGTCGTTTATTAGTTTGTTCCTTAATTCTTAATAAACTAATATATATTTTTCATTGATTTATTTATATGATTCTAATATGATAGAGTTAGTCAAATACTAAACTTTATCACGTGTTTGTATTATATTAGGTCTTTAACTTGATCTAATGTTAAAAACATGCAGTCTGTTATTAATTAGGATTAAATAATGATTTTATTTTATTTTCCTAACAACTCATTTTTTACTTAGAGGAAACAATAAATTAAGGCTCAATTTCTAATATTTAATCATTAATTTATTCCTTTGAATATATTGTACACTTTTGACAACACTAATATTTAATATATATTTATTTTATGTATGTCATTTCATGTGAAGATATGAATAATTCTAAGAACATATTATCAAAATATGAAGATATTTGTTTGATTGATTCTGGTACAACACATACGATATTCAAAAATAAGAAATATTTTTCTCATTTAAGTATGGGTAAAATAAATTTTATCTACAATTTTTGGTAGTACTAATATGATTGAGGACTTTGGAAGAGCCATTGTAATTTTGCCCAAGGGAACTAAACTCATCATTAATAATGCTATATTTTCTCCAAAATCTAAGAGAAACTTGTTGAGTTTTAAAGATATCCGTGAAAATGGTTATCATATCCAATCAA